TGCTGCTGAAGTCCTGTTCACTCTTCATCTCTCTCTGTGCTGTAAGCACTAAACACCGGTGACGAGCGGTGAGGCTGGTGAAGCACTGACTTCAGTCCAATCAGATGAACATATACATCATATAAATCAAGTGGATAATTTGTTTGGCTACAGCAAAATATGTTTTATGCCCGCATTGTTTGTTCATACAAAACAGAAAACTATGAGTTATGGGTCTTACCTTATAGCTATACCTTATAAATGACCTGCACAGTCCACTTCGGTTCAGACCAGTTCCTTGTTTAAATCCAGTGAATAGTTTGAGCGTAGATATGTAATCCTCCATTTGGAAATGAGTCCAATGAGTTTTAAAAAGTAAAACAAAACGCGTGTGTCCTCCGTAAACTCCTCTGTTTTGCTGCAGCCGGCTGCATCCAATTTCTAAAATCAACCGTCTTACACTTCACCTCTCTTTCTTATCATTCCTATAGTAATTGAAAAATTACCCTATGTGCATTTTAGATTATGTAAAAATGTGTTATATGTATGTTAGCCAAACCTGTTGCTGTCCTTAGCAGATAAACCAGGAAGAGCAAGGAGCTTATCGATGGAATTGTATGCAGTCGACTTCTGCGCTCACATGAGCTCCTCTGTGGCTGACCTCACGGTGATACAAGCCGTGGTTGAGCGCGATTAAGACCCATATTTGCTTCAAAAACACAGTTTATGAGCCATCCTCTCAACTGTAGACATGTAGATTGTAAAGGAAATATGATTTACATCAGCCAATAATTGCTGAGAGGTTTTCTCATCCTCCCTTCTCTCATGACAACACGTTCATTGTGCGTCTTGAGTAACGCGCAGTAACGGGATGTCGGAAATGATAACGGCGTTATAGTTACTGTCAAAGTAATTAGTTAGATTACTCGTTACTGAAAAAAGTAACGGCGTTACTAGTAACGCCGTTACTAGTAACGCCGTTATTCCCATCACTGCATATAACACACACAAACATATAACACACACAAACATATAACACAGAAGGCCTGTAATTTTAACTTTATTATATTCTTCCATGTCCAATTACAATTGTCTCATGAGCTATTTCCCTTGTTGCAACTTTCAGAGCCTGCAGAACATGCAGAGCTTTGAGAGATTTTTCCTAAAAGGATCCATTTCAAACTTTTAGTGCTTACCACGTGGTCTGTACTCGGGCTTGTCACAGACTGTGTCCCCTATATCTTTAATGAGCTCTTGTTACTTTAAAATGTTTTTTCCTTTTTTTTTTTTAAAGCCAGTTCGGATTCATTACAAATGTAAATTAGTTTCAAACTTTAATACTTCACCTTTGTTTCACGTTCATGTGGAGAAAAGACCATTGTTTTATGTGTGTGTACTTGCACCAATCATGTCTCAGATAAACTGCCAACAGTTATCAAAGACATAATTGTCCTAATTGTTTCTAATTTAGCTATTTGGAAGAGAAACATGTCATAAAAGATTTCATAAAATGTCCCTACATCTTTGTTTTCAACCAATGAACAGTGTTGCGTCAATGTGTTATCAGAAATGATCCAAAATCACCTTTAGCCAAAATTTAGAAATGCTTTAAATCATTTTTCAAACTTTAATTGTCTGAACAAACCATTTTGTACTAAATGCAGCGTCCATTAAAAGCTGCAGTTCTCTTTCTAGCACCAGTTTCATCTGTGCATGTGACTGTTCTTAAATGAGAAACGAGCCACGGTTCAGAGGTTGAACAATTGCCTTAAATATCCGTATTACCAAGATCATGCAGTCAAAATCAATAATTCTAAACTTCTCCGCGTCTATAACTTTAAACAATAATACTAGTTTCAATAATAGAGCTCCTCTACCTTAAATATACTGCTGTTCTAATCTCCTTGTGTCTCATGCTAAAGCAAGAGTCTAATTAATTTTAACGATTGTCCTGTATTCTTTCATGCAGCTAAATGTAGTGTTATGAACGAATGACCTAGCCACGGGCGGCACGGTGGCTGAGTGGTTAGCACTCTCGCCTCTCAGCAAGAAGGTCCTGGGTTCAAATCCCGGTCGGACCAGGGCCTTTCTGAGTGGAGTTTGCATGTTCTCCCCGTGTCTGCGTAGGTTTCCTCCGGGTGCTCTGGTTTCCCCTACCACTAAAAATATGTCCAATAGTTCTGGCATGCGCCTCCTGTACTGGCCCCGCTCCCATCTCTGTGTGGAGTGAGAGACAAATGCCCAAAATTAACAATTGTAAACCGCTTTGAGACTCAGATCTGCAGTGAAAAGGCAGTATAAATAAAAACTTACTTACTTACTTACTTACTAAATGTGTAAATATGACTTAATATGTCTCTGTGCGTTTGTTGCCTGTCTGTATATTACCTTCCGTCTGTTTCATTTAGCCCGGCCACGTCCTCCTCTTATGGCGTCCGTTAATGTCTCTTTCTTTTACTTATGGCGTCTTTCAATGTCTTTGCCTCAATGCCTTTTTTCTTCTTCTTTCAACAATCACTTTCTTTCTTCTTCCGATAACTTTTCCTCATAATGTCTTTCTTCTTCTTTCATATCTGACGCACCCAAATGTGTCGTGTCCTTCTTCTTCTTGTTTGGTTTTCCGGCGGTCGGCGGCCTATTTTTCGCATTACCGCCACCTTCTGTTCCGCAGATGGGACAACACTCAGTTTGTGAACAAGTCTGCGGTCTTTTCTTTGTCAATGCTGTTAGAAATGGGGCTGGAGGAGTCTTCTTCGAGAGTTCCTGTTAGCTGCTGCAGCCGATGCTGCCCCCTGTGGGTCTGGGGAGGTCTTGTGGCAGACGATTTTGGCCAATGAAACAGACAGAAGTTTTCTCAGGAAAAACAGACAAACAAGAAACACAAACAAGTGTGTTAATTACCATACAAAACCAATGATTAATTACAAATCAAAATAGACCTATGAAATAATTAATATTAACATTTTAAACATTAAATTCTGAAAACCAAATCTGCATTCAACTGCTATCCTAAGCCCTATTTCTCCAAAAGCATAATGCTCTCTAAGATCATTCTAACTTTTATATCACCAAAATGTAGGGAAAAAACTTGTCTAGACGCCTTGGAGATAAAAAATAAAACATAAAATAATGCCTCTTTATAATCTAACTCAAAGTTCTGTGATCCTATGACTCCATGTCAGTAACATTATCGTGTGTATAAATGTAATTTTCTACAAAACAAAAAAAATGTCTTTGGTAATAGTTCTGTCTTCACGAGAGAGAGAGAGAGAGAGAGACACAAAGAGGGAGGGGAGGGGCTGAGTGGCTTCTCGAACAAAGGAAAACATGGAGTCTGAAATACTTTCCTCGTTTTTCTCGTGACACGGTTCTAAATCAGTGGTAAAAGTTTTTCTCACGTCAAACGACACTTTACATTTTATCCTTAAATACGTCAGTAATGGAAAACATTACCATTTGCTACATGATTAATGTATCGAGGGTTCCAGCAGAATCTTTTTTTTTTTTCCCGATTCTCTAACTATCGAAACATTACATCAGAATACAAGAGAAAAACTCCCAGACTGATCTTTTGTCATTTCTTCACATGAAACTCGTATACTACAGCCAAGTGGCTCTCTTTTTTCCTCATTAATCAGATCATTATTATCAGAATCCACATTTTAAATACTTGGCTTTTTTCTGTTTAAATTAATTGTACCCTTTTTCCCCGCCCCCCCCGGGGGATATGGAGTTTTTATTATCCTATAACTTCTGACCCTAACTGTCCCTATTTTCTAATCCTATTTCTCTAAACACTTGTGCCTCTTTTGCACTTATACCCCTGTGGCTCTTTTCCCGTATATTCTTTTTTAGAGAGAGACCAGCATCCCTCAAGGTTCAAAAACGTCGAAAAACCTGACTATTGTTCTATCGCGTCCGATAGAATCGCCCATCACGGCGGTCTTGTCCACACTGCAATCTGTCGAGCCAAAATCTCTCTCTCTTCTATTTAAAACAATGTGCAGATTTCCAAAACTGTGATCCGCTTACCTTAGAAGCGACCTTTTTGAAGAGCAGAGAGATTTTTCCAAACCCACAAATCCAGTCTCTATAACTGAGCTCATCTCTGTCTTGCCCCTGCACCATCACGTCGGGGGTCTCCAAATGAAGTCAATAATTCCCTTGACTGACGTGTTCGAGTTGATGCAGAGGCATGACAACAGATCTCCAAGTTTTAACATCTGTATTTAATTATCTTTACAATCAGATACAGAAATTCCAACAAAGAGGGCTCCTAAAACTATGCATGTCCCTCTCTGGCCCTCGGCTGATTCTTCTGTTTCTGCCCAAGCCAGAGCCTTATCAGTCGATGTTCAGGGAGCAGGGGGCGTGTCGTATCAGGGAGGTCTTGGGCCCAGGGTCCGATGACGTCACAGGTCTGGGACTGGTCTGGCCCCTGGTCCTGGTCTGGACCCGGTCTTGGTCTTCCATCTCCACCTGAGCAAACAATGCCCCCACCCCTGCGGCGCCTGATTGTGTTGGACTTTGCTCTCGCCCAAAGTGAGAGAGAGAGCCCTGCTTATACTTGGAGTCAATAATTGTCTAGTTTGTATACTATCTTGTGTCCTTGGGGTTTTTCCTGAGTGCACAGAGGTCTTTTTTGGCTATGATGTCCAAATGGTCAAATATTAAAATATACAACATTTTAATTATACAACAGAACCTCAAGCTAAGCTCTGCTAAAATACAGCAGCACCTCATGACATCAGTTGTGGCCAAGCATTCTGAGCTATGTTGAGAATGAGGCAGTGTTTTAAGCACTAATTATTGGTTACAACAAAGAAATCAACAGATCTTGCATGTGTCTTAACTTAAATACATAGTGTTCAAGTCATATTTAGAAAGGACAGATGAAATCCCTTTGCAACAAATAAAAACTCTGCATCACAGGCATGAGTTTGGTTTAGTTCAGCCCCTATTTTCACTTGAAACTGGTCGCTGCCCAGAGAAGACCAGAAAGTGCATGTGTCTTAACTGACCTCAGCTCCGCCCCTTTGTCCAGAGCGCACACGAGACGTACGGCGTCCTGACAGCGGCCGTAGCTGAAGAAGAGCACTGCGTTCTCGATGATGTTAGCAGCCAGAGCTGGAGCTGTGCCTTTATACAGAGCCCTCACTCCTCCAGACCTACAGGTGTCCAGGAAGCACTGACTGAAGCTGCGGTACAGCGACGGGAAGGTCTGCATCTTCACTTTAGTCGTGTCGAACGGCTGCCCGCTCATCACACACGCAGTGCCTCCTGCAGACACACGCAAAGATGTTTTAATTCTTGATCCTCACTTAAAGTTGATTTGGAGTGAGCTTCCACTACACACACCTCTCATCTTCGTGATTTGTATCACTATCAATCATTCAACTTGTATTTCTCCAGCGCCTGTCCTACACAAAGCGCCTCACAACCCATGATTTCTGATTTATCTGTCAAGCATAAATCAGAAACACTAAAATCTACATATACATTCAAAAATATGATTAAAAACAAACATGAAGATCACAAGAAATGTTAAAAACAGAATAACAGCCAAAATGTTATGACTTTTCATAGAGCCCAAATAGTATATCAAATATACTTTATCAAAATAAAACCAGATAAATTACAAAACACATTGAATCTGTTTCAATCACACATTCAAAGACTTAAAAAACTAGTCGTCAGGTCAAAGGTGTGTCATCGTCCACTTTGATAACACAGTCAGCAAAGAGACTCTCGATACGAACCGACACATTCTGGGACGAGGAGAAAGGTTCCCCTGTGAATGATCATGTTTAACGTTGTGTGTCTAAAGTTCTTTCTAGACTCGGAAAAAGTACAATATAATAATAATAATGCATTGGTTTTATATAACTGTTTAAGATGCTCCTCATGTCATTATTTTTTCAATCCATACATGGAGGTGATAAACTACTACTGTAGCCACAGCTGCCCTGGGGCACACTGACAGATGCAAGGGAACCAGTACATGCCATCGGCCCCTCCGACCACCACCAACCATTCACACAGACACCAGACTCATTCTAATGTGGGGGAAGTGTCTTGCCTAAGGACACAACCACAGTTTTAGCACTTTACAGTCGCAGCCGCCCCACTGTGGCACCTACTGTTCCCAGAGGTCTCCCATCACAGCACTAACCAGGCCTTGCTCTGCACAGCTTCAGAGGTCTGACGGAAGCTGGCTTTCACATGCAAATATGGCCAAATTATAAAGTAGATGTGAAATGAATATGGCACACTCATTACACATGAAGTGAGATGTGATTTAAAAACCATAATCATCCACATTTCAACACATTGGCCTGGCATATGTAATGAGTCTATATCATATATTGGTTTCACATTTTAAGTTTAATTACAGACATAAATGGACTTTTGAACAATGATCAAATGTTCTGAGTTGCTGCTGATGTGGTGCTAATGTCCCTCTGCACCAATAGAAGTTTCTTTCCCGGGAAATGCAGTTGTAAGAGCATTCATTTACATTAATAGTACTGTTCTCAATACGTGTTGGATACGCGGGGTATGTTAACGTAGATTAACAGCCAAACTCTGTCTTCACAAGCCAGGAAACTGAGCGTCTTACTCCTTTAATACACTTCTTTAACTTCTCGTAGACAGTTACAAATCAAACAGAAATAAACAAATAACAACACACTTGTGAAACTTAGTCATTGCTTTTGTACATGTAGAAAAGTTGAGACACATGGAGACAGTAGTAACTTCCGCAGACTGTTACTGTTAACAAGCATGTTTACATCTGAGAGCCTTCTGCTGCCTAGAAACCATGCATAGCAACCAAATGAACCAAAACTGCATAGCAACCAAATCAATAAGAAAATGGTGTTTAAAGTTAATTATTAGAAACGCATTAACTAGAATTAGTCAGTACAATAAATAAATCAAAATTTACAAATCACAATGAAACGGGGCTAGCCACTAAAAGACGGAGGCAGAACATTAATCAATATTTGTGTTGCGGCTTCCTGCAGACCTGAGCCGCGGAGCCGGTCAGAGCGGGTCCTGTAATGTGATGACGCGTATTGAACCCTACGCTAAAAAAGCCTTGATCCGGTATTGTGTTTTAAAGTGATTGATTGACTTAAAAAGGTGCAGCAAACAAACTATGGAAAAATGATAAACTGTTGAACTGTAACATAGAACCTGATGCGACCAAACAAAAAGATAAAAGGTAAACAAACGAACAAAACGAACGAACGGTCAACAAAAAATACGGATACCCACTCAGCCCTGACTCATCACTCGCCTGACAGATACACGCACACTTTTACCCCTGCTCGTGCACGCGCACCTGCCCCGTGAGCCCCGCCCCCTGCTGTGCAGCCACACACACACACACACACACCCTGATCTGTCTCCTACAATTTGATTTAAACAGGTTTTGTCTGTAGCTTAGTTTGTTAATCGCTTTGAATACGTACCAATGGCTCCTGCTGAGAAGTCGATGATGGATTGAATCATGGGATGAGCCATGGCTTCAAATTAGACAGAAACCAAGAATATAGTTAGACAGATTCCAATTGTTAATAAAAAAACATTATTCACTGTGATCACTTGAATAAATAACACTTTCATTCACTGTAAATGAGAGGTACCATTGCAATACTTTAAATGAATTAACCAGAAGGGAACATGCATTACAAAACCTGAAGCATGTTTTCCAAAATCATAGCACAGTCTAGAAGTATTTAGTGAGTTAAGCTGGGACAGACCTGAGACCTGCGCAGGGTGGTATGGTGGCTGAGTGGTTAGCACTTTCGCTTCAGAAAGAACCATCCCATACCCCCCAAAAACATGTGCACTGTGTTTGAGCGATCAGTCATTCTGAAGCAGTGGCCAAGGATCAAACCATAGTCATATTTAGTGGTCCCCACAGCGTGTACTCTTCTCCTGTTTCCATCTAATAAATATACTTTTATATATGCATGGTTACCTTACCTGCTATCACGTCTTCACACCGAACGCACGATCACCAAAGTGCGCACCATCCTTTCCCCGGAGGCCAACGCAAAATGACATCAACTTCCTGAAATAAGAAAGGGAGGCTGACTTCTGCTAATGTGTCCGAAACAAGATCTGACAGCTCTTTACTCTTCCCTGTTCTCCGCAGTGTGAAGAAACTCTGGGCCTGGCTCTGGTGGAGGCGCCACGCACGGAGAGCAAAGTGACGGAAACATCAGGAAATCTATGGGAAATACAGCGTCTGCGTGTGCGTGTGCATGTGCGTGTGCGTGTGCGCGCACTAACTCGTAACTTTCGATGTAAATGACGTCAAGGGAAGACACTACGTCTTAACTTGTCCGTTGCGTTAGGCGTGGCCAACGTGTTAGTCCATGCGTCTTTTACAAACATTAGATTTAAAATAAAAATCTACTTTTGGAGCTGCGAGGGGTACAATGAAGTAAATATCATTTGTCTGTGATATATCTCCTTTTTGTAAAAGTTTCTGTAGATCTGGGGTCTCATATCCTGAAGCTCGCAACCCCCTTTCAGATTCCAAAGGAATCAGAAATTGAGCACATGACGCTAAATTATAAAATGTATAATGATTTCATATCTATTTTACTCTAAATGTATACTGTGTGTATATACCGTTTAGTTGTAATTCATGCAAGTGTTATTTCTGGTTTTCTGTAGTTGTTAAATAGACTACATATTCATCATTCCAAAAGGGACTAACGCCGCCATTTCTGTTTCACAAATGTAGTTCACCAATTGGAAAAGGTTGGATTTTGAGAGTTCAAATTGAAACGCATTGAATCAGGCTGACTGAGAAATGCTTTTAGCCAGTTCATTGTAAGTATGCCGAGAAAACTCCAATTCTAGTGCTTTTAGACCACCTTTATTGTAACCTTTCCTTTATGAAGGGATTCAGACAAACACATTTTTCATTTTGACAACAGGGAAATCTTTTGCATATAGCTCAATGAAAATGTGTATAATATCCTGAGTATCCTTAATGATGTAAATGTAACCTATCCCTATACAGGTTACATTTTTTACACTAAATGCGACACACTTCCTCAGCAACACACCACTTCCATGTGTAGCCGCTGTAAATATCGGCTTTGTATCCACTTTAAAGTATGCTGCGCTGTTTGCTTGAAGGTGTTTTAATGTGCTTTATGGAGGCCACGAGAGTTTCTGCTTTTTATATGACACCGGGGGAAATGCACTGCTTATAACAGAAGGTTCTACTCCCTAAAGTGAAATGAGGCAGGCATAGCTCACTCAGAGGAGACCTGAGTGAGCAATGCCTGCTACGTACCACCCCAAAGCAGACTAGTGGAAAAGCTCCTTAAAAATAAGGCTACTCCCACTTGATCCATCATGAACTTGCGGCTGGACTCATAGGCAAAGAACAGAGCTCCGTTGGCGGGAAAGGTGCGTATCAATGTGGGGGTCAGGCCAGAATACAAGACTGCTACACCTGCAGGAAGGGGACAATACACTCAATGCATTACAACAATATTATTATATGTTATTTATATAGCTCTTAAAAACATGTACAAGAAACTTAAGCACTGCTCAGACAAAATCCATAGAATAGTTTTTTTGTTTTATCTATATCAATCCCAAATGCTGCCTTCTTACCTTCCTTTTGGACTATAGCCCTGAAGGTCTTCATGAAGCCCTCCTGTCTCCCAGCTAAAGAGTAAACCTGGATCCTAGACTTGACACAGTCCATCAGCCAGAAGGAGGCCCCTCCAAAGCCCCCGCTGAACATGAGAGGCAGCATACCTGCAGCACATGAGCACAAAGGTGGAGGGGCTACTCAGCACACATTGGAACTCACAAGCACACACTCCTGCACATGTGTGTGTCAACTACCAGAAAACCACTCTAGCATGAATAGCCTTTCAGATAGGAAACATTCCGCAGACTTGCACTACACCTATATTCGCAGTGCTCCCATATCAGTTCAGAATTGTGCATCAAAGTCAGTTCTCTCGTACTTGTTCCATACCTATCCTCTCTTTGTCTGTTCCAATGTACTTTGCAAACATGGAACGAGACAGTTCGTAGCCTCCAAAGAAGCAGAAGTATCCAGGGATGTCTCTCAGGATGGTGGAGGACAGCCCTACAAAGAGACCCAGAGCTCCATGCTCCTTCAGAACTGACCGTGCCACGGTCCACATGGTACTACAGACACAGCACATAAACACACTAAAATAATAACTCTGTTTCTCTCTGCTGTTTATTTTGTAGTCCATTGCCTGTATTGTTCCTCACCTCTTGTGTCCTGCTGTGATCTTCCCTGCTGCCTCCATCTCGTGCATGGCTTGTAAGCTACACTTCACCAACCCTGCCGGGGTGATGGCTGTGGCAGAGAAGATGGAGGCCAGAGAGCCCGCACTGGCCCTCTGCAGGTCACTGCACAGGACAGGGTCATTGTGATTAAATACATAGTGTTCAAGTCATATTTAGAAAGGACAGATGAAATCCCTTTGCAACAAATAAAAACTCTGCATCACAGGCATGAGTTTGGTTTAGTTCAGCCCCTATTTTCACTTGAAACTGGTCGCTGCCCAGAGAAGACCAGAAAGTGCATGTGTCTTAACTGACCTCAGCTCCGCCCCTTTGTCCAGAGCGCACACGAGACGTATGGCGTCCTGACAGCGGCCGTAGCTGAAGAAGAGCACTGCGTTCTCGATGATGTTAGCAGCCAGAGCTGGAGCTGTGCCTTTATACAGAGCCCTCACTCCTCCAGACCTACAGGTGTCCAGGAAGCACTGACTGAAGCTGCGGTACAGCGACGGGAAGGTCTGCATCTTCACTTTAGTCGTGTCGAACGGCTGCCCGCTCATCACACACGCAGTGCCTCCTGCAGACACAACAGTATAATATACAATTAAGAGCATTCTGTCACGTTCTGAAAAGGAGGAAGGACCCAAAATGTAGGACTGCCAAATTATAAGATTCAATAAATCGAAGTCAAGTGCAGTGAGCATTTCATCCATTTTCTTCCCCTTTATCCATTTCTGGGTCGGGGGCGTGGCAGTCAGAGCTGCACCCAATTCATAGAGTACCAGCCCCTCACTGATCCTCTTGCAGGTGGTGAGTCCACAGGGGCCTTCAGCGGTGGCTTCGGGCAAAGAGGGGGTTAAGTGGCTTGCCCAAGAACCATTTATTTGTATAGCACATTTCATACAAGAGCTGATGCTCAACAATGTGCAGGAAACATGCAGTGAATAACTATCAAATAATGTACATTCAAATGTCAGCTGGAAAGAAAGTTTGGAAAGTTTCTTAACTTACTGCTCCATGTGTTTTAATCCCCTCTGTAAATGAAAGTCAATTCTACATACCAATGGCTCCCGCTGAGAAGTCAATGATGGGCTGCAGCGCGGGGTGGACCATGACTTCTACTGAGCTGGAATATCAATAGTTACATATTCAAGTATAAAAGCTCACCGTTTTTTAAAATTTGTTTTTCTTTTTTTACATGTTTTTGATTATATAATTAGTGTGTGTACAGAAACCTTAGTTACCCAATGTACCTAAGGTTCTCTTTCATATGTTGCTTCAGCCCCTCAGGCTTCGCTATTGAATATCTCTCGGAAGCACCGCTTCCCGCTCTGAGAAGATCAGACGATCCACCGCTCCAATCACCTTGACGTCCTGGCGTAGGTCAGTCCCCTATAAATAGGGCCATGCACCACAGCTCTTCTCCTTTCGAACTCAGCCCATCCTGCCTTGTATCAACGGTTCAGGCTGGTGGTGGGGGTGTTATGGTGTGGGGGATATTTTCTTGGCACTCTTTGAGTCCCTTAGTGCCAATTGAGCATTTCAACGCCACAGCCCACCTGAGTATTGTTGCTGACCATGTCCATCCCTTTATGACCACACTGTACCCTTCTTCTGATGGCTACTTCCAGCAGGATAAAACACCTTGACATTAAGCTCAAATCATCACAGACCGGTTTTTGAACATGACAATAAGTTCACTGTACTGTAATGGCCTCCACAGTCACCAGATCTCAATTCTATAGAGCAACTTTGGGATGTGGTGGAACAGGAGATTCGCATCACGGATGTGCAGCCGACAAATCTGCAGAAACTGCATGATGTTATCACATATAGACAAAACTGTCTGAGGAATGTGTCCAGTACCTTGTTGAATCAATGCCACAAAGGATTATGACAGTTTTGAAGGCAAAATGGGGTCCAACCCGGTACTAGCAAGGTGCTCCTAATAAAGTGGCCGGTGAATATACGTACTGATTACACATTTAATTAATGGATATATGATCCTTTCTTTGGTCCTATGAGCCCAAAATGGAGTGGCAAGGACAGTTTTCTTACCAAGATGTATAGATTGATCAAAATATAAATGTTGATCGTCACAATATCATGCAAAATATCCTAATTTAAGTTGGCTACAAATTTAGATTAGATCTATGCTGCATAAAGCAATAACACAAACATATCTATATAACTACTTTAAACTTCTTTCATCTTGAAAATAATTAAATATAAGTTATTTGCTGGTACCTGGCTTGATGGCTCCTCAGTCCTCACTAGTTGAAAACAAAATAATAAAAAAAATGAAGTTCTTATACCGCGCCCATTATTTGTAAATTATAAACCTGTTTGATCAGGCAGATTGAGGCGAGAAGGATCTGTATGATGGAGATAAAGTTTCCAAGCAATCACATGACACACACAAAAATCACATGACACACACAAAAAAACACATCATGAAGACAATAGAAAAAATAGGAATTTGTAGAATCAAAATTGTCAACTTTTTTGTGATTGATTTCATCCAATTTGAAATATATGGCCCTATAACTGTAACTCTTTTGTCACTCCAATTTCCCATGAGAATTTTAATAATTGAATGTAGGACTATTGACCCGTTTTCGGACCGCCCTACACTGCGAAATAAAACTTGTCATCAAAATTGGACCAATGAGAAAATGGAACATACACACGCACGCACACGCGCACACACTTTTATGGTGTCATCTCTAGCTCAACTCACTTTATCACAGATTATTTATTCTCAAAGTCATGGATTCCTCTCGACAAAAGATGCTCAAACACGCGTCACAAGTACACGTAAACGTAAACGTACACGTAAATAACAGCCAACCCTGACCCGCACGCACACAAGCAGGGCAATGTGCTACAGTGGCCACCAGAGGGCAGCAGACAACAGAGCAGATCCACAGGCCACATTTTGTCACCCTTTTGTGTTGTGCAATCCACCAAAGTACCAACAATGTTCACGTTAGAAGCATGGCTAACCACAATGAAATAAAGAACGTAGAAGCATGGCTAATTAATGAGATTAGAAGCATGGCTTACCATGATGGATGATTTAACTTTGAAGTATAGCTAATTACAATCAATTAATTAACTTAGAATTAGGGCTAACCACATTTAACTAATTAAACACGCTCTCATTTTTATGTTGCAAGATAACGAGCCCATTTTAAATGTAGTGGAGAGTACAGAGAGTTGGGATTAAACGTAAGGAGTAAACGTAAAAAATAAATCAAATGTTGTGAAGTATTGATACCAGGGAGAAACACTTAATCACTGTTCTTAAGTAAATACTATGTCACTTGCCACTTTTGACAAAAATACGAGGGTGAAGAATGAAAACAACGTCCACATTGTATTGGAATCGCTGATTGGCGCACCGCACGTCAATCACAGAGGTTCGGGGGCGGGCCCTGTGGCCGTATGATAGTTCCAGTAAGCGCTCACATGCTGTACACACCAGACCGAGTCCACAGGTACAAGCAGGCGGCCACACGCACTCACTCACGCTGCGATCACTGCTACGAAGCGAAGAGCGCACTGGATCACTTTTGGATCACTTTTACGCACGGGATGTAACACTCCGAGTCGCATTTGAAACCTGTAGACTTTTTCATTTTCCTATCTGTGGGCTTCCCCCATAGTGAACGGACTTTACTGGGACACCTCTCCCCTTGCTCTGTATCTCCAGGACCATGGCGGAATCGGTCCAGGCGCACTTGGTGGTGGAGATAGACCCGGAGTTTGAGCCCCTCTCCCGCCCGCGTTCGTGCACTTGGCCGCTGCCCAGACCTGAGTTCCTGACCCCGGCAGACTCCAACACGTCGTCTCCCGCTCCGTCAGTGAAGCAGGAGCCCGGCAGTGGTGGTGGTTTTGGAGGCGGTGGTGGGGATTTTATCAGTAATCTGAGTTTGCTGGAGGAGAGCGAGGACTTCCCCGAGAATGATCCCAGCGCGCTGCTGTGCCAGGACTTCTGCCAGGACAGCGCGCTCCAGCCCCCTCCTCTCCACACTAAGGTACGACCTGGAGCTGCGCGCACAAGACCCCTACAGTTGTTTACAGTCCGCTGTCATGGGGAATGTCTTTAGTTACCAATCCATCAGGGTGAAAATGTATATTGTTTTAACGTACTCTAATGATCAATCATTTTGAATGCTCTGATTTGGGTAGTATTCTGTCAACATGTGTTATTGGACTAAAACAATATTCTTTAAGATAAGATATACTTTATTAATCTCACACAGGAGAAATGTACATGTCACAATGGCGAGGACAGGAACACTCAAGAATTTTGCAAAAAGTAAGAAATGTGCAACATGTTAATGCAGCATATTATGTACAAAAAGTGGCAATTAGAAAGTGGCAATCAATATACTCTTACTGTTATTGTTAACCATTTTTTGCGCTAGAGTTTTATTAGAAATGTGTAGTATTTAATGTGAAACTGACAATAACTTATGATAGAAAAACAAGGCTAAACAGGAACAAATTTAGATAACGTGCCATTGCCAATTCAGATTTGGCGCCTAAAGAGTTAATTAGTAGCTCATGTAAAAAAAGAAAAGAAAAACACCTGTGCGCACCACTACAGGGGAAGTTTCCATTCACTTTTGTCATAAGAATGTGCCTTTTGAAACCTGGATTACATGATGCGTGCTGTAATGTTTCTATTTGATATTTGTAACTGTAAATGAGAATTCAGCCAACAAGTAGCAGTAGTTTCAGGATTAGTTGTTGTGATGTAAAATTCTCATTCAACCTTTAGGGAGTTGGGATGTCCAAAATATTTCCCCTTTAAGCTGGAGAACTATCTGTAAAACAATCCATCTAACTAGTTCCTCTATCCTGGTTTCAGACAGAAAAGTAAAAAGTACCAACCAATCATCTCTCAGCCTAAATAGTTATGGGTCTTTCTTACAAGTATACAACAAATAACAGATAACAATGGCACGTTGTGGACAAACAACATGTATTATTTATGAAAGGGGAAAGTTGGGTACCCCAGCTTTAAGACTTGGCCTGCTTCATCTTCGCAATAATCAGTGATATTACACAAGCTTACAATCGTGAACTTTCTCTTATATCAAAGTTTCCATCCTAACCCTACGTAATGTTGATATACACTCTTGTTATGTGAGCTACTGTCAAAGTTATTGGAGTGAAGTAGAGTAGACTCCAGTTCAGTGAGTTTGTCCTTAATATCTATGATTTACTGAGGCACACATTTGATATTTAAACCATGGCAGTGTTTGAAGGTGACTCATGACTTCTAAGGATAAATGACTGGTCAACTGGAGTGCTCTGCGTGAGAGAGAGACACTGTTATCCATTTATACACTTTCATCAATGACCCTGTCTTTTGAATTTTTCTTGTCTAGTAACAAAAAATGGTCAGCATAATTTTCAGACCTCTGTATGAAATGAATATTTGTGTTTACTATCTATTGCTTATTAAATAAAAAGGTTAATGGAGAGGTACTGATACCATGGTAATCAATAGTAAAACACTGGAAAGTACACAAACTATTATCTTGATTCTCTATAAAGCTGACACCCGTAAATCTTTCGCTTTAAGAAGGGGTATGATGTAAATTAGTAGCAATAGTAGGGCTAGGTGCTATCTTTTACAGTAATGACTAGGACTATGTTTATGGATGCATCATAGACGGATGGACTGAACTTAGCCGGCTGTCTCGTGCCAATCTGCCATGGCTTCATATTTGTGGCAAAAAGCCCGATCGTAGCATATAAAGAAAATGAGCTTTTCCCTCTGTCCCTGCTGCGGTCAGACTCACAATTCTGATCTTCAAACGCCACAGTTTAAAGTTCTACATCATCCGGGTGCTATGTAGAACTTTGTTTTGTTGAAACAAGTTAATCAATTAAGTAAGTAAGTAAGTAAGCTTTATTTATATACCGCCTTTCACAGACCAGAGTCACAAAGCGGTTTACAATTGTTATTTTTTGGGCACTTGTCCTCTCACTCCACACAGAGATGGGAGCGGGGTCGCCGAACAGGAGGCACATGCCAGAACTATTGTACATATTTCAGTCACAATGAACAATGGTTCAATCACAACTATTCAATTAGGTGTCAACTAATTTAGCAGTAAATCGTCTTTTGAACCTTACATAGACCTAAATGTGCTGAGAAGAGGTTTTTTGTCTAATTCTATAAAAACAGAAATAACTGAATAAAATGTGTTTACATAGTATTTATGATCAAATTACCCATTTGTTTCATATCTATGAAGCTTGGTTTTGGTCAAATGTATGTATAACAAATCCCAGCCTCACTGACCTTTCAGGATCTAAACAACTCATTGACGATCATAATAATAATAAATAATAGCCCTCGTTGAATATTTTCTTTCAACAATAACAGACCAATCAGGCTCCTGATGGCCCCCTCTGCAGAGAGGCCCCTAGTCCTCTAAAGCTCAGGGCGGATCACGCTCTGGGTGATGTCAGTCCACTGCTCCCCTCTCGTCTGCAGTCGACCACAGGCTTATGGCTTATTAAAGAGTATGGCACATGTCTTACTGACGATGAATGGCACTTGTACAGAGTCAGCAGTGTGCATTGTACAGTCTGACAGCAGCAGGAAGAACTACCTTTTCTTCACACAAAAACTTTTCGTTTGTGGTTGTTTTTTTCTCTCACATTTGCTTTCGCTCTACAGTTGAACTCTTGGCATCTCGTCTTGTCATAATAATTACAGAATGATTTATCATTCAGTTAATGGTAAATGGACCAATAAGTACTAATTCTCTGAGACATTGTCGCTCTTGTCTTTGTAACGCTATGGAGATTTCTTTAAAGAGGGTTGAATAAGTTACTTTTATGGCTAAAAAGTACATATTCTTTATCTCAGCCCAGCCTTTCAATAAAAATGACAGATCAATTCTCCTGCTGTATTGCCTGCTCTTGTGTCAGTGGTCATGTTATCATTTATCAAAATGGGCTATAGTGACAGGCCTTTTGTCATCCCTATTCCAGAAGGACTTATACAAATGACTTATACATCCACAGCAGCAGCAGCAGCAGCAGCATCACCTGCTCCAGCACCAGAGCCCTCAGCTGACCCAGCCACAGGTGCCTCTGCTGTCCACTCCTGGGACGTCCTCCGCCTCCGCCGCTGCCCAGAGGAAAAGCAGCTCGTCGCGCCGGAACGCCTGGGGGAACATGTCCTACGCTGACCTCATCACCAAAGCCATCGAGAGCTCCCCAGAGAGCCGCCTCACGCTCTCCCAGATCTACGACTGGATGGTCAAGAGCGTGCCCTACTTCAAGGACAAAGGGGACAGTAACAGCTCGGCCGGATGGAAGGTACGGCCACACTCTTTGACTCTTGTATCAGTTGCGTTGTCATTATTTCAGATGGTGGACAGGGTATTATGGAACCCAATGAAAGACTGAATGTTTTTAAGGAAATATCCCAACTTAGGATCCACAAAAGTCTGTTTGTTTATTTCTGCTGACAGACAAGGCTTTGGACTTTGTACCAGATTTTGTTCCATGTGAAAAGGCAGAGTTATGACACAGATATGAACCATGAACAGGTCAACAAATGTGCATTTATGACAGAGAGCAGATTCCATAGAACTCTTTCCTGACCTCTTTTGCTGAAGTCTCTCAGAAGCCTTTATTACACTTCACATTCTTCCTGATATAGCTCTACCATAATAATATTATATGTACTTTTTGTTCAATAACTTGGACTAAGATTTCAGCTCTTTTCTTTGTAGTGGTCCATTGAGCCGAAAAACGTCCGTCAAGCAATCTGATTGGGCCCAAAAATTCTCCAAAAATGTATATATATATTTTATTTCTCTTGTCCTTTAGTTTATTTCTGGATTGAGCTAAACTTGACTCTGCAGAAATCTACATTTTAATTTAAAATACAGTCTCTCATATAAGCCAATATGTAACGTAGGAATCCCCCTTATTCCAGTGTAGGTTTGTTACCGCACTGGCTAATGTTAAAAAGACCTATTGTGTTTTAGAGGTGGAGAGAACACAGTCCTGCAAAATATTTGGCCCTTGGGAAAATCAAGTTGAATAGCCGTGGTGCTTAAAACAGATGTTTATTTGTTGTAGATGATTTCAAAACAGATTGACAGTCATTATACTTAATCTGAGTCTCTAGGAAATGAATAGTACTCAATGCATTGTCCCCAAGAAGTGGTCTTTTCTGTGTTTTTTCTCTGTCCATGAATATTAATAGACTGAGAATCATTCAGAAAAACAACAGAATGAGCTGTTTGCAGAACTTGGTTACATTCAGAGCTCCACAAAGTCCTGCAAAGGTCTAGAGACTTGTACAAAATGTATTTCACAGCACTTTACATGACGCCACTATTGTTTTGAGAGCTTTGGCCACGCCTACATTTACAGCGGATCACTCCCGAGAACGTGCCGAAGAACATTTTCACACGTATTTTGCTGAAATGCAAGGAGGCTTTCTGTGATTTGAATCAACAAAACTATCATTTCAATAATTTTGGAAAAATACTGCATGACGCAAACCAAGAGTAGTCCAAAAGGAGCACATTTGGTTGAAAAAATATATCTGGATTTTGTCGCATCTTTTAAGCACTATTAGAATAAAAAGAATGTATAACGAAGCCATGAATCCTAAACGTCAGTTACCAGTCAGATAATTGTTATAGCAGCCTTAAACTCAACTGTAGAAATGTTTTACCAAATTATCATCACATTATGAACACTTTGAACAGTTTATAAGGCAAAGCGAATATGCAAATAGAGTGCAGCAGGAAGTACGGTTGTTCAATCACAATCAAAATGACACTTTTGGTGAAAGAATCTATGCACATGGTCTGGACAGGAGGTTTTCCCAAAGACCTCATCAATACGTTAAACATCTCCTCTTCAGGGAACAGCTTTCACTAAGATCAGGTTTGGCGGGAATCAGGATCTCATTGTCCTTGTCATCCTGAACTTTTTTCTTTTGAAATCCATCGGTTGTCTATGAGTCCACGCTTAACTGCAACAAACTCGGCTTGCTCTCGCTGCGCTCTGATCAGCAGTGCTCTGATTGGTCAGAACGCTCGCATGTTACACGAGCATGAGAGCAACGTGTTATTCAGGTCCAAAGGAAGTAGAACCACTGCACTAAACCGGGAGAACCAGAGCTGGATGAAACATGTTTGATTAGAATGGGTAGACATCTTGGAAACCCGGGGCTTGGTTGGGACGTGCATTTGCCTTGGACACATACACACAGGGGACAGAGAGGGTGGGTGCATGGCTGAATGGGTGGACCCTGCTGGTGGAGTGACCGAAGGATCATCTGACCACAGTTTGCTGGATGTGATTTGTAGAGGTCTGCTGACTTGAGCTCTGTGTGAGCATTGTAGGACTCTGGAGCTGGACAAAAGACTAAAAAAGGGAATAATTGAGCCAAATCCTCATCTTTAAGCTTTTCTCCATGTTACTGCATTGTTTTGCCGTAATGGACCGAGCGGTTTTCTGTCTTTTAAAACAAAAGTTAGGCCTGTTTTCCAAACGAAGGCTCATACAAAATAGTGCTATTACAAAAATATGAGAACGTTTACAATTTTCCCATTTACTAAGCAGTTTTTTGGAAAGTCAGATTTATTTTAGTGCAACAAAAACATGACCAACGTCACTTGGGCAGGGGAAACCGGAGCACCAGGAGGATACCTATGCAGACACAGAGAACATGCAAATTCCACTCAGACAGGTCCTGTTCAGACCAGGATTCGAACTAATGTTTCTTAAGGAAACTTGTTCCCTCAAAACAGATTAGTTTTATGAATACCATAAACATAACAATATAAGTTCATTAAACACAGTCTTTATTAACACTCATTAGCTCACTAGACTCACTTACACATTGTTTGTAACAATCCGTTTTAGTTTTATAAATTCCATGAACTTAAGAATATAAGCTCATGTATTAGTCTGATGGTCCTGAACTCTACATCTCTCAGATTGAGAAGCAATAATGCTTTAACTCAGGTAAGTAAAGTAAGTAAGTAAGCTTTATTTATATACCGCCTTTCACAGACCAGAGTCACAAAGCGGTTTACAATTGTTATTTTTTGGGCCTCTGGACCTGTCTGTTGTGAGCCTCTGGACCTGTCTGTTGTGAGCCTCTTGAACTGTCTGTTGTGAGCCTCTGGACCTGTCTGTTGTGAGCCTCTTGAACTGTCTGTTGTGAGCCTCTGGACCTGTCTGTTGTGAGCCTCTTGAACTGTCTGTTGTGAGCCTCTTGAACTGTCTGTTGTGAGCCTCTGGAACTGTCTGTTGTGAGCCTCTGGAACTGTCTGTTGTGAGCCTCTGGAACTGTCTGTTGTGAGCCTCTGGAACTGTCTGTTGTGAGCCTCTTGAACTGTCTGTTGTGAGCCTCTGGAACTGTCTGTTGTGAGCCTCTTGAACTGTCTGTTGTGAGCCTCTGGACCTGTCTGTTGTGAGCCTCTGGACCTGTCTGTTGTGAGCCTCTGGACCTGTCTGTTGTGAGCCTCTGGAACTGTCTGTTGTGAGCCTCTTGAACTGTCTGTTGTGAGCCTCTGGAACTGTCTGTTGTGAGCCTCTGGACCTGTCTGTTGTGAGCCTCTGGACCTGTCTGTTGTGAGCCTCTGGACCTGTCTGTTGTGAGCCTCTGGACCTGTCTGTTGTGAGCCTCTGGACCTGTCTGTTGTGAGCCTCTGGAACTGTCTGTTGTGAGCCTCTGGAACTGTCTGTTGTGAGCCTCTTGAACTGTCTGTTGTGAGCCTCTGGAACTGTCTGTTGTGAGCCTCTGGACCTGTCTGTTGTGAGCCTCTGGACCTGTCTGTTGTGAGCCTCTGGACCTGTCTGTTGTGAGCCTCTGGACCTGTCTGTTGTGAGCCTCTGGACCTGTCTGTTGTGAGCCTCTGGACCTGTCTGTTGTGAGCCTCTGGACCTGTCTGTTGTGAGCCTCTTGAACTCACTTTCAGAAGTTGATTAAGTTGATTTTACTTTAACTACAACCTCAAAGTAAAATGAACTTAATTTATCAAATAAGGTGAACTTTTCATTAGTAACTTCTGAAAGTGAGTTCAAGTGGCTCACAACAGACAGTTCAAGTTCCAACTGGCAATTTTATTGTCAGTGAATGCAAAAATCTTAGTAAGGTGAACAATTTTGAGTTGTCGTTTTTACAGTGCAACTGAGCTACTGTCGTCCCTTAATAACACAATGTGAGGATGCAAACACACACAGCTAACTTTATCTGTTAGCTGTAATTTACCTATTACTCATTTTATCTAATCTGACAATAAATGTGCGTCTTATAGCTACTATAACTTAATTCGAGTGTTAATAGTTTAATGTGTCGACATAGGCAACTTTCAGAACTTGACTCATTCTAGGCAATGAGGGTGAAGTGTCTTGCCTAAGGACACAAGAGCAGCTTGGCACTTTACAGCCGCAGCCGCCCCACTGGCACCTGGTGTTCCCAGAGGTCTCCCATCACAGTACTAGCCAGGCCCTGTCCTGCTTACCTTCATAGGTCTGACGGGATCTGACTGTCTCATGGAGGTATGGCTACATGACTTCTCTGTTCAATGTGGAAACAAAAATCCACTCTGTGTGTGTGTGTGTGCGTGTGTGTGTGTGTGTGTGTGTGTGTGTGCGTGTGTGTGTGTGTGTGCGTGTGTGTGTGTGTGTACGCAGAAACACGCAGATATGGAACACTGGTGCGTCCTGAAGTGCTTCCAAAACATTACGCAAGACTCAGAAAAGCCAAAGTTGTCCCCCCTCCTCCTCCCTCCCTTCCCCGTGGACTTGGGCGTGCTCTGCTCCCACAGGCTGCAGAGGCGACTGGGTGACACTGAATGGCTCTCGCAGACAGATTTATGACAGCGTATTCTTCTTCAGGAGGGCTGCTTTGTCTGGAGAGCAGAGCTGTGTGGATCCTGTTGTCTGGGCTTTTCATGCACGGCTCATGGGGAGACCGCAAGAACATTTTAGATTCTTGCATGTCTTCCTTCTGTTATTATTTGTGCTGGTTGCCAAGAGGTGAAGCGAAATTAAAGCCCCTGACACCATCCTAATGCAGTATATTCAATGTTTTAAGCTGGGATACATAACTTTTTTTTCTTGTAATTTTGCAAATAATTCAATATTTAAAAAAAAATTGATATATTGTATAACAGGAAAAAAAAACGATACATTGTTTTTCTTTAGCCCACTCCTAAACAGAAATCCATGTTATATGATCCTAATATTTATTTTTAATTTGGTTTGTATTTAAAAACAATTAATTTTTATTTATTTAATTGTAATTCTTTTTTTTTTTTTAGCTGGTTTTATTCTCATACTTTTTTTTAGCTTGTGTTGTGTGTGTACTTGTCTGGTGCACCCCGGGGACTGTGCACATTCTACTGTGGTTTTACGGCAAATGGCAAAGAAAATTAATCTAAATCATGAATCTGAATCTGAATCCAACCAATTAGTGTCCAGTCCGTCAGAAGTTATTGGTTGTTTTTCTGAGTTCAAGTCAGGTCAGGCTCATATTTTCTATTTGTAGAGCGATCCATTTGTTATATTTACCAAATGTATTGTCTGTATGTCTGTATACTTTTAATGCCGTGTTTATACATGCGTCTCCGTTCTGCTCCTCTTAACCGTGTGATCCACAGCGCGTAAACAAAACCAGACTCTGTCGTCTCTCTCTCACTGTGTTCATCATATATTTCCATTTGTCCTGGTTTCACAGAGCTGTAGGTGCAGCAGAGCCTGGGGCACTGGAGCTGTACACATATCAACCTTTGAGTAGAATGGGCTCAGTGTTTGCCCTGCTCGTCTGATGCTTCATTAGGAACTTATTAGGACAGAGGAGGGGAGCTACGGTAAGGCTGTGTCTGCGCAGGCCGCCACGCCACATCACACGCCAGGTTATAGACATCCAGACTGGCCCGGGACGTCTTCAGTCTCAGCTGTCCTCTTGTGACCCAGTTTGACGTGGTTTAGTTCTTCTGTAGTTATTTATTAGACCTGTTTGTGTCCATATAGTTAGTAAGAGTCCTAGTTTGGATGATGTATTTAAAGCTGTACACGCCTGTATGTTCTCAGAGATAACTGTTGTGATTTAGGGCTTTACGAGAATACATTGAATTGAAATAGAGTGGAGTTTTAATAATACATGTTTACTAAAAAGCTTTTGTACTTATGAAAGATCCCTGTCTGTGAGTCACTATTTCACCATTTGGGCTGAAAAAGCTGGTCTAAAGATGTGACACAGGCCAAAACATCATGCACTTGACAGCTAGTGTTAAAAGCAAACGGTTTTGAAAGCGAGGAAATGAAATTGTGGTAGATAGTAAAAGTACCCTACATTTGAATAATTTCTTGTGAATTCTTCAAGAAGCAGTGGTTTCGGTGCACAACTCTTCCATTATTGAAATGATTACTTAGTACTTGACTCATTTCATTGATTAATCATTTTATTGAACGTTACGAAGAACAAGATTGGTGTAAGCATGGGGCCATGATGTTTATGACCCAACAGAGATGTAAATACTGCAGAATAAATGTTTTAGAATGTAAAATGTATAGTAAGATTTTGACTATGACTATCTTTTTTTCAATCTTGGGGCTTACACATCACAACATTGTAAAAAGCCAATAGTTTTAATACTTATGGGGACATTTATTAATGATAATAGTTCTGGGGTCCAGTACGTAAGAGAAAAATGCAAGCCAACTTATAAAAACACACATTGCCTTCTATATTATCTTTAATACATCTAAACTAAACTGTTTTAGGAAGGAACAAGCCAATTAGTGACTTTTTGTCTTTGATGACCTTCAGTATCTGACTTCAGCTCAGGGTGGCAGTTTCCAACTTTTTAAGATACTGAAAAGCAGACTTTTGTTGCACACTGACTGCTAATGTGGTTCCCAAACTGGACTTTCTTGCTCACAAATCTGAGCCTCTGTCCTCAGTGTGACCTGTGTGCAGCTGCTGAAGTGTGTATCTCCAGGTGGGTTGTGTCATTCTCTGCGGGCACCTCTGAAGGCTTTCCCTGAGCTGCTAACTGCTGCTATAAAGTGATTATCCATGTGAGCAGTGTACGGAGCCAGCTCTCCTGACCTGAACCCTCCATATCCATAGGCTCAAAGTATTCCCACCTCATGAGGCCGAGATCTTATTGCTTTGTCAGAAATGTTGCATTAGAACGCTGTAAAACATATTGTGAAAAGGGAGCCATGTAGTCTAGAGCAAGTGCAGGGGAGCCTCAACTATTTCACTCAGTAATGTATTAACTTTGTCGTAGTTTAAAAAGTTAGTTATGCTATTTTCATTGTTGCCATTTTTTGTAGACTGGTTTGCAGATGAATTAATTTGCATGAACTATTGCTGTTTGCGTTCTGGTTTTATTATGTAGAGTGATACAGAGTTGAACAAGGTTGAGTTGCTCTAAAATGAGGATTAACGTGCCATAGTCGATATTCAGTGACATATATGGACATTGGTCATCTGCCCCATTATGGACCAATGGCTCTGTGTGGTTTTTATCATTGCATTTCTTGTGTTTGATCAGATTGATTCTCTGATCTGTGTTGGCGAATCAATGGTTTTGTAAGTCCTCCAAGATAACTACTGTTGTGATTTAGCCCGATACAAAATTAAATTAAATTGGAATGAAGGTTCTATCAGCTGTTGATTCCCAATGCTAAGGACATGGCACAAAGTCCTGCGTCACTCCAGGGAAGGGCAGGGAAATACAACATGGGGCAGTTTATAGACATATTAATATTACGTTTTAATAGGAATGGGGCACATGTTTAATGTCAAAATACCGGTAAAATCAGTCGTCTGTTGGCTGTTATTTGTTACGTTACAACATAAAAACCCGTGGTCTAAATGTGGACAAAATGACTTTCTTTTCAAATGTATCTAGAGCAGTTTATGAGAATGAGCCTCCAGTATCATAGATGATCACCTTCTAGCAGACAGAAGCATGTATTCTAACTAATAGAATAGAATGGTTTAAATTTCACCCTGAGAAACGGTTCATAAAGACAAAGCACAAGGCTCATGCTTGAGAAAAGACCGTTCCACCATCTCCCTTTCACACATGTCGTTGAGGCGTCATGCGGAGCCGTGTTGTGACTCAGGCCGTCTGGCTCTCGGTGACGGGGCCCAGCAGTGTGGAGGTGCAGGTGGGGCTGGAGGAGCTGGACACTGGCCCTGGCACCAGCCTGGTTCTAACCAAGAGCAGCCAGATGGAACAGTGATGCACACAGTTATATTTAAGACTGTTCCTAAGCAGACCGTCATGACATAAATATATGCCGATTATTGAGCTGAAACAGTTAAAGGGTTTGGATTTCTGAGGGACCAAGTCTGAAGTAGATCTACATCAACAAAAGCAAAGGAATTATTAAAAGTACAGCTGTTTATTATCGCCGCAATTGTCGTTGGGGTGGTTAGAAAAGTGTGTGGTGTGGGGAATTACAGCTTTAAAACATTTAGCTGCTACTTCACAGAGTTTGCTTAATGCAATTTAGTTTAGTTTTGGAACCACTATATTTTAATTCACATTATGGAGCAAAAAGAACTGGAGAAAGAATCTTATAAACCATTATAAGGGCCGGCCGATGCGATTTTTATCTCTATGCACATGACACCACATGTATCCAGATACATGGGACTTTCAATTTGATATGATTGGATAGATTACAATTCCATATGACTTGGTAATGAAGGCCTAATCTAATTGAACAAAAATACACCATTTATGCATTTATATTCAATTTATTGAAGAATCATTGGTTTCTCAAATTCATTGTTACTAAAAATCTAAATATATTTCTTTGTAAGATTCTATGTAAGATTTTTATTAATTGCCAAAATGGAAATGATCTGAAACATTTTTTTTACTCAAAACTATTGGCTTACATTGCTCACTGGTGGATGTATTCGATTAGATTAGATTGTTTGAAGATATTTTGTTTTCAGAGGTTATAAATGGTGGTTTTCTATTGACAAATTTTGAAGTATGGTCAAAGGCCACATAGAAAAAGTAAGTTATATTTTAAAACATTCTCAAATAAAAATGTGAGAAAGTGAGGTGCTCTCTTGGCGGTTCAGCCGGTTCCTTCTCAGTTTGGGTTAACTGTGCATACATTAGACTGCTCTGGGCTGCCGCCGTCCTCTCACTTATACGAACATGAATATTCATCTGCCAAGCTCCCGATCCTTGTGTGCATCAGAAATCATTAGCTTTTAAAAATACAGCTGCTTTTGGGTTCACTAAGAGGCAGTTTTTGGGTAACATCGACTTAATCCTTGCCATGTTATTTTTTTTCTCAAATTAATCTGAATCTGTTGAAATTAGAAAAACAAATATGCGTGACGTTTGCTTGGGAACACCCACGCTGCGGTGTGTCATTTGGAACAGTATGGATACTCGGGCAGAAACGTTTGCATTGATTTGGGGACCAACCAATAGATCAGGGCTGGGCATTTGGCTCCATTTTGTGTAAAGGTTATTAGTCTTTTACGTTTCTTCTCTTCTCAACAAATTTCTGTGGTGTGACATGATCAAGACCATGAGACCTAACATGATAGACATTTGCAGCGCCCAAATGTCTATCATGTCAATCAGAAAACAACAAGAAAATGAATTAATGGTTATGGCATTTTGGCCCTTAAATAGAATTTGGAATATTTACTTCGCCTGCTAGCTAAAATCTTTAAGAAAAAGCCACAAAACTCCAAATTTGGATCCGAAACTCAGCTCATCCCCTTGTTTGCCTGCTCCTCGCTCGTCACCGCTGAACAAATATTTAGCTGTATGTGCTGCTTTGATGAGAGCAGTGGATCGATGGAGCAGATTCCCTGTGCTTACGCTCTTGACCCGGGATCCTGGGCCCACGCGGGTAAACACACGCCCACGCTGTGAGGAAACAGTGCTGGACCAAACAGGACCGTCCCCTGAGGCTCCCGGCGTGGGGTCAGGGCGCGCACTGCACCCGCTGACTCCTCTGTGTTTCTTATGGGGCAGCGAGGGACTGGGGGAAAGAGCAGCTGGAGACATATTATGCAAAATTAAAGTTTTTGAGCTTCCCCGTCTGACCTGGAGTAGTTTTTAGATCCATCCATGCTGTTATGAGGAATTTCTGACACAAACATGTAACTCCGCCCCTTCTGTCTAAAAGCTCCTGTCTCAGTCCTGTAATAGTGTGATGTCATTGTACCACTGTGACATCAGCTCAGAATAGCGTTCTGCTTTTTAGTTTGTCCATGAATAAGTATTGGTCATTTTTCAAGTGAAACTACATTATTTACAATCACATGTGTTTGCAGTTGGTAATTTTCAAATTGACAATAAAACAAAACAAACTTACCTCCTCTCTCTTGTAGAATATAGAGTTGGCTGATGATTGGAGGAAACAGCGACGGGCGGCACGGTGGCTGAGTGGTTAGCATTCTCGCCTCTCATCAAGAAGGTCCTGGGTTCGAATCCCGGTTGGACCAGGGCTTTTCTGAGTGGAGTTTGCATGTTCTCCCCGTGTCTGCGTAGGTTTCCTCCGGGTTCTCCGGTTTCCCCTACCACTAAAAACATGTACAATAGGTCTGACATGTGCCTCCTGTACTGGCCCCGCTCCCATCTCTGTGTGGAGTGAGAGACAAATGCCCCAAAAAAAAAAAAACCATTGTAAACCGCTTTGAGACTCTGATCTGCAGTGAAAAGGCGGTATATAAATAAAGATTACTTACTTACTATAGATTTACAGCCCATTGTTTTTGTTGACTCTATTTAAATATTGTATATTTCCAGACCTCTGCTGATCCAAACTAATTGAATCCTTGAATAACTATCCAACTAAACAGTAATGACCTAATTTTTCCACTGATAAATCTACCAGAACATGTTGTCCAATCATGCTAAATAAAAGTGATCCTTTTGTCAATCATCATAATGTTAACAAAAAAAATACAACAACAAATCTCCCCTCCCTCTAGGAAACCACACCACGGCACTTTTAATGCCAAGCCAAAGTGTTGTGTTATGATTAGCCTTATCAAATTGCATAACACCCTTGTTTATTGCCATACACTAATGACCCTTTTACAATATTTACGTCCTCGCAGATAAACCAGCGCATCCGTAATCTCCCGAGGACAGATTAAGATCAAATGCGGCTCTTGCTATTCCAGCTCAACTCAAAGCGCTCTGTGTTTCCTAATGGCAAATCACCACCGCTGCAGCTGAATATGTAATACAAGAGGCTCGCCACGGCCAGAACAGCGCCTCTTCTGTTGGGCCGCCTTCCATCAGTCACTCCCCCAGACCTGGCGTGACCCCGGCACATGAGGGCCAGCTGTGTGCGGGGGGCCCCTCACCGCACAGCCTGGACTGGAGGATGCCTGGAGGAGGCTGGGGGGGCAAAACAGAGGACGATATATGAGCGGAAAGAGGAGGGCCCCAGACATACCCCAAGAATCTATGCACTTCATGGTTTCTATTGAAAAAGGGAAAGGGGGGGGGTATGGGTCTCCCAAGGCCAAGTTCAGACCGGCATCTAAAGCAGTCTGGAATTGAACTGGCCATTTGTTCTTGATAATGGATTGAATTGTTGTGTTAGCGTATTCACAATTTTAAATGAGCAGTATGTAAAAATCCAGTTAAAAACCTTTAAGCAACACGTCAAAGAGCTTCATGAATCCTCCACAGCTTAAATAAGATCAGAGTTCCTTCATTCGTCCCACAGTGGGGGAATTTCAATGTTGCAGCGCACAGACAGGACTGTAGTAAGAGCACACAGCGAGCAAACAATATTTACAACATACGCAGCTGCTTTGTTTCTTAACTATAGCTGTAAATGCTTCAATAACAGTCAAAAATAATAATGATATATACAGTATGTTGTATATAGTTATATTCTGTACATAAAGGGCAGGGTAATCAGTCGACTCCCACTGTCTGCTGTCGTTGTGTCCTTGGGCAAGACACTTCCCCCACATTAGAATGAGTCTGGTGTGTGTGTGAATGGTTGGTGGTGGTGGGAGGGGCCGATGGCACAGACTGGTTGCCTCGCTTCTGTCAGTGTGCCCCAGGGCAGCTGTGGCTACAGTAGTTTATCACCACCGTGTTTGGAGAGAATGATGTGAAGAGACTTTGAGTGTCCAGAAAAGCGCTGTATAAAACTGATGCATAATTATTATTATTATTATTATTATTATTAAAGTGACATTCAGTGAAAATCCTGAAGTTGCAGTATTGCACATTGCACATGATTGCAGTATTTACTTGTTTACAGATGAATGACATTTACAGGCCCAGCAGTTCTCATTGTACAGTCTGACAGCATCAGCCAGTGCCACTGTATTATAAAGACAATAGCAGAATATTCCTGCTATTGTAAAGAAAATGTTCCAAACGATGAAGACAAATAAATAAATCTGTTCTATGTATTTTTACATTTAAATTAGATAAATTTGTTACACAACGGACAGTTTGAATGTTGTTGATGTTGAACCTGCTTCAATTCAAATCAGAGACACATTCTTCACACTTGGAGCTGAACACTATTATTATCGAACAAATTGAGAACAATCAACACAAAAGACATAATTTAGTGTTTCAAAGTTTAAACCATGCTTTGAAGTTTTACAACATTGCATCTGCATCATTGTAGTTTTACGAGGTTCATACTCAAAATAAGATGCAGGATTCCAACAATAAAACTATGGTGCAGACACCGGGGATTACTTTGAAGCTACGTCTCCATTCCAAATGTTAGTTACGTTTATTGAAAGAAAAACACCACGTTCAACAATGATTTGCAATTGTAGACACTTTGCACTGAACAGGAAAAACCTTCATCATTTCTTTTTAAATCTACTCTGTCTTAAAGGAGCAGTATGTACAAATCTGGCCCAAAGTGGTACTGCACTCTCCCTGACTCAGGTTGCCAGATATGCAGAAGAATCCAGCTGGGACCATAATATCTGAAAAAAAGAGTTTTGTCAACAACAAATCTATAACCAGCACCTTTCTCACAAAGATAGAAATCCTGGTTTTATTCCTTGTTTTGTCGTTAATGATTTGAGAATCATAACGAGACCTTTTTTAGTTCTGCGCCACATGGTACTTTACCAGTGAGATTAGCTCCACGCGGTGAGTTCTGGCGCCCGGATCAGGGACTTTCTGATTGGTGAAACGGTGGAGGGCGGGACATCGAAATGAAAACAATAACAAGGTTTTGGGGCTGGAAAACTAATTTTTAAATCCAAATATCTCGACTGAGCTATTGTTATCAGGTAAAGAAGTATTGGAAAAGAGCATGTTTTATTAATGCATTTGACAGATTAGGGCCCTTTAATGATGACCTCACATGGAAATCATGCATATTGCTACTTTAAATGTTAAAACAAAATGAAGAGCTTAGAATAAATAGTTGTAGTGATCTGAGCCTTATTTTAACCTTAAAAGGAATTCTTCTCTAAAATGCAACATCATACACATCATATAACCGCTTAGCCGTCAGTCCCGCTCCTGCCCTTCAGAGCGCTGTCCACTGCAGCAGTGTATGCACGGCTTTTGACAGCTGCAGCAGATTTCAGAGATACAAAGAAAAGGTCTGATAAGTTTACAATCGCATTTAATCAGTCGTGAGCTCAGATGGCTAGACAAGTCTATAAAGTGAATCCTCCGCGATAAACGAGGGGCCATTGTCATCATTATTTTTCCATTTCCGTGCAGCTACTCGTTCATAAATATGACTTTTACAATACATTTGTTGCTTGCTTTAATTATTTGTAATCTACACACAAATATTAGGAATCACATCATTTTGTATTTGTCAACAACGTCCCTGTACAGCGAGTGCGAACACAGCCCGATGGTGACCGTGTTGGAAGTTACGTAAGAAAGACGTTTACTGGAACTCTGGAGCCGCGGGCCAAAGTCTGGAGCCCGGGGTTAGTAAGCGGAACTGCTTTTCCACCGTGCCTGTGCGTGAGTGTGTGTGTGTATGTGTGTGTGTGTGTGTGTGTGTGTGTGTGTGTGTGTGTGTAGTTAATTAAAGCCCTCTGCTGGCAAACCACTGGGCATTCCACAGCAGATCTCTCTGTCTTTTATGGTGCCAATCCCATTTGAACGCAGACTCCACTTAGCGCCTTCCCCTTGTGAGAGCGCGGAGCTTTGAAGTGCTGAGTCACGCTTAGGGAGCTGGGCCCAGAGCAGATGTGACCGGCTCTGTCAGTGCGTGAGGGAAAGTTAAACAGCTTTGAGATGAGAGAAGGGTCTAATATGTATCTGTCTGTCTATTTAGAGCACCCCTGCCTCCAACCGAGTAACTGGGGAGAGACCAGTGACTCGCCACCCCCTTGCAAGTAGCTCCCCAAAGTATTTAGAAAAGACCTGCACAATATTATATAAAGTAGGATTTATTCATATTGTAAATGTGTAAATGCAAAATCACATAGTGATGAATGTGAAATAATTATAGTACCTTAGCTTAGTTCTTCCCCGGACGTAATCTTAAAACTGTAAACTGTATTATTATAGTTTATATAAAGCTATAACAAATGTATATCAAGCCTTTGTTTGTTATAATTCATGTATTTATATGAATAAAAAGTGTAATGGTCTATATCTGGTATTCACATGTGTGTAAGTGTGTGTGTGTGTGTGTGTGTTTGTGTGTTGTGGAGTGTGATCTTTGTATTGTTTTGTTTCGGTGCAGTCTGTACGGAGGGCTGTGCCGTGACATAACTCTGACCACACAGATGAAGCAACTCGGAGTAACCGGGGGTAACCGGGAACAACTGGGACAGAGGCGCTTTCACAACACTGTCCTGCTCCGTGTGTTCGTCCTCTTATCTCTCATGGAGCAGTGTGTCGTAACTGGTGACATTTCAAAGACATTCAATTTAGTCATAATCTACCATAGTATTTATAATTATCACTAGAAGCTGCAGTATTGATCTGGAACAGGTTTATTATAGACTTTTTATGTTTTTCAACTTGTTTGACATTGGAGTCAGAATGTTTGAAAGTGCAGAGACAATGAAAAAAAGTAAGGACAACATGGAAAACATTTGAACAAAGTGGGGTTCACTTTTAAAGCTAGGGAACGTAACTTTTAGGGCGCAAAAAGTTGAGCTTTGCAGTGGGTATAAAACTGTCTGCTTTACAAGTTTTCATTAGTCTTTAGCCTCACATTTTTAGATCCACTTTTTCAGACAGAAGAAAAGAAGGAAAAAAGCCAATCAGCTGTACAACCCGGGAAGTATTGACTTACAGGGCTTTTCTTACATGTAGCCCATGCAAAATATACAATGCTTTTTCTATAAAACTGTATGTTGTGGTCTAATTTATTCACTTTTTTTTTTCATAGGATTTTCTGATAGATAAACAACATTTATTATTTGGGAAAATGTTATTGTATGGTGAAGTGGGAATGTCCATTATTATTAATATTTGTTTCTGCTCTACATTAAACACAATCTAACATTGACTGATTGAAGGCTCGCATTTGTAAAGAAGGTCATTTAACTGGAGAAATTGAGATAAAATCATTTGGAAAGATTATGAAAAGTTTGTAAAGGCAGAAAACAGCTCCGTCCACAGTCACGGTTTTACTTTGAGATGTTAGATTTCAGACTTCTCCTCGTGGCGCTTTTTTTCTGACCTTTAAAGATGAAGATGAGACTATTTACTGTCATTTCATGTTGTAGAATGCAAAATAATAGCTGTAGAAAATATATGTTGAAACAAGAATGAAGAAGTTTGCCACCATTTTTCTACATTTAAAAATTACCGGCTGCAAACACACACCTGAGAAATTGCCAAAACTAATTTATGGGCAATACTTTTGTTTTAAAAGACAGAAAACTTCTCTGATCGTGATGTCATAGTGGTACAATGACGTCAGCCAGAAGTATCTGATATGACCGTGGATGGATCTAAAAACAACTCCGAGTCTGTTTTTGATGAATGAACAAAGCTTAAAAGATCCAGACAGTTGATGTTACATAATACATCCTCCTGTAACTCGCATAAACTTGTTCTTGTACTTGTATTTGCGTATTGCCCGGCTGCTCCCGTGCTGCTGTTGTTGACATGCAGAAGCAGGTCAGTGTGGCAGGAGCAGACAGGCTGAGGTCACTGCGTGTCATGGCAACTGCAGCATTTGGCTCTGCTTCTCTCCATTCATACCGGTGTGGGCCGAATGAGAGGCCTCTTTTCAGACTTTACTACAAACTGCTGCATTGGGCACATGGCACGCTGTTAGGTTTTGGTGCATTTAGTATTCTTTGTTTGTTTGAAAGATGCGCTGGGAAACGGCTGCAAGTCCTACGTAGCTCCAAAACAGTTGTTGTTTTGTGCTTAACAATCTTTTTTTTTCTTGCTTTTTTCTGCTTGAGATGTGGCTGCAGTATAGTTGTGCAGTTTATGGTT